ACTTAAATCTGTATCAAATAAGATGTTTTTATTACTTCATAAAAACATATGATAAAAACTTATTATGGAACAAAACAAGGTCAAAAGGTCAATACTATAAGTAAAACCCCCTTTTTTCATTTTATCCCAGTCTGTCTCCATCATACAACCAGTTCAGTGCAACTAATACACCGTCTTATTCTATTAGCCAAAAAAGCTTAAATAATTTAACTTCATCATCGACCTTTTTATCTTGCTGTGAAATAGTAAATTACTGTTCAAAATCAAACTACAACTGTTTTGATTTTATTTAAACATCTCCCATAATACCAAGGTATCCTTTCAGATTCTATCATATCATCTACAACGAAGTATCAGGGAAGAGAATATATTAATATACAACAATATATCCAGGGTAACAGGATCATCATTGAGTAAGACAATAAGACTCTGATACAATATCTAAAAGTGTGTTATGGGCTAAGACATATGTTAATAATATAAGTATATCCCAGTTCCCTATCGTACCCACATCATCACGAAGTACGTCTCTATAGGAGCGATGACTTGCTTCTCAGCTCCCATACTGAACGTCCTTACTACACTTTTGATCCTAACCACGATATTTACTACTTACTACACTTCTGGTCTTGCCTTTTTCGTTCTGTCGCACTTCGTACTTCCAACTTTGTTTTTAATTGTTTTATAGTCTACAAACATGATGAACATCGAGGAAGAAATCGGTTTTCCCATTCATTTATTGGATCATGATTATTTTAGGCCAAGTTTATATGAGAACAACCACATTGAAGAACTGGACGAAGAACAAGGAGTAATCGAAGAAGAAGTACTTAAAGATTAAGTTTTAGCTGAAGAAAACCCTTTTAATTAGGTACCACTAACCTACAGAATGATTCCAGGTATTCATCATGAATCAAGGATTTATGTGGATAATTTAGGTTTCTAGTTTTATAAACGTGAAACCACAATCAACCGTGTGTATTTGGTATGTGAGCGTCAAAAAAATAGGTATCATGAATAATTGCTCTTGTATAGCATCAATGAGTACAGAACTGATTGACAATAGGATAAAAGTTCGACATCAACATAACCATGGACCTCTACTGATATAGATTTACATATACCTTTCCTAAGAGAAGCAATTGGTGCAAGAGGCATTGATCCTGAAAACATGTCTGTATCAGTTAGGACTGCATACAACAATGCCATTGTTCAGTAGGTTGTTGATTTAATGATTTAATATATAATTTTATTATTTGTTTTTTAAGTAGTAGGTATTTGCCTACTTCCATATGTTTATATTTGCAATTGAGCTACTAAGAACTGTGTATTATAGTTATGCTATGATAAAAATGTTAAGCCTTACTATGGTTAAATTAATACAATAATACACTTGGTTCTCTAATTTTAGTTATATTTTTATTATATTGTATGCTTTATATAAAAATAAATCAAGCCGGTATAAGTTATGTAATTATGTACCTTTTATTGTACAATAATAATTATTTATTGTCAATTACTATTATAAATCATAATACACCTAAAATATATACTTTCAGTTTTGAATTTATAAGTATTTAATTCCTTATATTCTCATTGCAAATGCCTTTTACTAAAATAGTTTAAGATTTTTTAACTTAGTATGAATATTGTTATATTTATACTTAGGTATCATCTTTTTTCAGATATCCAGAAGCTGCTAACAATTATACATTTTTGCAGGAATAACAAGATGGAAGAGGTCACGTCAACCAAATGGCGGACACATACTTGAGAACATCCATGAGCTTGCTGAAACATTGATCCTACCAGAGAATGCTGCAACAGTCATACCCTTCAAATACCACCATCTGCATTTTTCCAACAAGAATTAGTGGTAAATGGAACAAGCGGAGGAATTAATTTTGCAAACCTGGATGCAATTAGAAGATATCGAGAAGATTGGCCACAGATACAACACAGCAGTTGGAATTGATGGAACATTCAAAATTGTTCCCGCTGCCCCGGTAGACTTGAAAAGTTTTCTGACTTTTCAAGTGGTATTTAAAGATGTATCTTTCCCAATGGTGTATGTTCTTCTAAGAGGTCGGACAGAAGAAACATACATAACATTATTTAATATTATTCAGAAAATTTTGCCTCTTAGCTATAACTTAGTTCGGTTTGTTACAGATTTTGAAAAAGGACTTATGAATGCAGTTCAACGATCATTTCCAGAAAGCAGATTGGGGTGTTGCTGGTTTCATTATACCAAATCAATTGTACGGTATTGTCATTGTAAATTAAAAGGTGTTTTGAATTTAGTCAAGAGGAATCCTGTTGCATCTCGTTTTTTCAGAATATATCTTGGAAGTCTAGACGTTGGTAGATGAAAATTTTTTATTACATTTTAGATGCATCTATAGTAAATAGTTATATTTTGTATAACGTAACTAGTGATCAAAATTAGTCAAAAATGAATCTGGGGTTTGAATTGAAAAAATTCCTAAGTGTCTAGAACGGCCGTCCGGCAGCTAAGTATGGGATTTACCGACGGGTTGCTTAGCAAGGTGATGGTAAGACGAATATTTTTTGAACTTTATGTCCTGGACACCGTAATTCGTAGTTGTTAACTTTGAAACTTTTACACCGAATAGCCGATATGTATACCAATCGATAGTTTCGATAAATTATAATTATCCTTATTTTTGTTCTCAAAAATTCCACAATTGCGTATTTACGGTGGGGGGGATACAGGGGTCTGGATGATAAGGGCAATAGGTATATACTAATCATAGTTTATATAAATTATTTAGTTATGTATACACTGACAAACTGTGGAAGTGTTGACCCCCATAAAAATTTTGAAAAATAATTGTTTTAAATTATTTGTTTTAACCTTGTAAGTGACACTGCTCGTCAATATGACATACAACAGTCATATGAATATCGACTGATGATACGTTGCCCATTTTGTAATCAAGAATTTATATTTAAATCTACATTACAATTTCACATTTTTCATCATCATTGTACCGCTCTTCTATGCCCATCAATTAGAGTACGCCGTCGGGAAGTAAACAATGCATTATATTCTAATTTTCATTTATTTATATAATATCAATTTTATTTTAAAAGGATGTAATGATGATTGCATCCGCAGTTCAAAGATTCACTGTGAGAGGGGCAACAACAAATGTATGCTTAATGAATTATATATGCAGCTATGGGGCACGTATTAATTTAAAAGAATTAAATGAATTTTTGATTGTTGATATTTTGTAATCGGGCTCGTTACACTTATTTGATGCACCACTGAAAATTTCATCCCATTCCAAGAAGCTTGGAAAAATGAGCTTTGCCCCCCCCCCCCTATGGGCTTGCGGAGTAGTTTTTTAGCAATTTTACAGAAAATAAGTGTAATGATGTGCTCTAAGCAATCATAATTAAATATTTATATAATAAAATTATCACCTTTAACTATAAGTATTTTATCAATATGACAAATATCAAATATTTAATTACTGTATAACCTTTAACTATAAGTCATCTATTAAGATAATCATGTAAAACAATAAAATGACCTTTAGTCGGATCAAACACACACACAAGACACCCGATATAAGAGGGCCGGTCACCAACGGTCCAGGCGCAGTGCTTTCCCATCTTTTTGTGTAAATGATCATAAGCGAGTGTAAAAGACTACGCAGATCATATACACGAAAAGACATAAGTGTTAAAATAAATTTATGTTAAAGTCAAATGTATTCAATGGTTCATGTGTAAAAGAAAAGTTTTAATAAAAATAATAAGTGTATTCAAGAGAAAAAAGTCTTATAATTAATCAACGTGCACTGGTCACCTTATTCACAACAGCATTAACAAAGAAGTCATTGCCAAGAGAAGAAAGGTAATGTAATGATTTATAATTGATCTCTAAAGGTGTATAATCAGAAACTCTGATAAATATTACCCCTTCATTTCCAATATCCTTTTTAAATCATAACATCAGTTAGAGAGGATACACGTTGAGTATGAAAAGTTTATTTTCATTTTTGACCCCCTTATTCTGCAATATATCTAATATTATTTTTTTATCTACCATAGACAACGATGTCCGATCAACCTAGGTGGTTCTTCTGTTTCCGCCGCCGAACCCTCTTCCACCGGTTCTAGCGTTTTTTTCGACGTCACCGTTAGTATACGATTATTATTATAAAAAGTTTGGCGTAAAAATTATTGATTATTGGGGGGGTTTGGGGGGGGAAGGGTAGTTATATTAGGTTTTCAAGTTTTTGTAATGTTTAGTGCTGTAATTGTAATTTTTAATTAATTTTTCAAGTTAACCGTGCTGGGGGTGGAGGATTTTGGCAAATTCAAGGTTGTTGAGGTGTCGACAGCGTCGTGTACGGGTTTTCGGTCGCTTTCGGCGTACAAACCCAGCACGCCTGTCAAGTTAGCTTCACAGGAAATTGTTTTCCATGTCGAAACGCGAAGCTGTTGAAAGGGTTGTTTGGTGTGTCTCGCAAGAGTAAGTATGGATGCTAAATGTAGTTTGATTTCAACAGGGTTATGCATTTGTTTTAATTTTATAGCATACACTCACGTCGAGTTCACCCTTGGTGGAGAGCCAGCCATCAGGGTGCTCGTGAGCACACCCACAAGCCGAGACGTTGCGACGGCGCTTCTGAGGAGCCCTCATCCGATGAGGAATCGGATGTGGACGGGCTGGTCCAGTACGATTATAGGATGTACTGGGAACAGCTTTGATGAGATTGTCCATCTCCTCAAAGAGCCGTCGGAAGGGGTCGGGCAATCCCGCCACAAATAGGTGGCGCCTCCACCCCGCCGACTTGGCTAAGTTGGCGTCCGAGGTGGACAGGATGACCACCGAAGCAGGCACCTTCGGGAGTTATCTGTAAGTGTTGGCATGTGTTTTTCTCACTGTAATTAGATATTAATTTATTGAATGTTAGGTTTTATGTGGAGCTTCACGTCTACAGTTACCTCTAGATGATGCCATGGCAATCATAAGCCGTGTCGTACACCCATATCACCGTTCCATGATGATATGCCAATGCCATTTGGGCACCGAATTTACCCTGAAATCAAATGTTAGGACTGTGCTCGCTAACCGCGAGGCAGCCCTGCGAACGATGGAGGGGGTTAAATTCTTTCATGGATTCGGGGTGTACGACCACGGTTACTTTACTGCTAGGGGAGTAAAACAACCGCATCAAGTAATTTTTTGTTTTTCTATTAATCCTATAATATTGGTTTTTAATTGACTTTATTTTATGATTTAGAAACTGCTTCCAAATTGCCGTTATGAGCAGGCGTACAATCCCGCCGTGCATATGCTACGCCGAGGTCTCAATGAGAATTCTATCTTGACGTGGCTGTTGTTGGGCGGCAAAAATTGTAGGCAGAGCGCAATGACTTATTCGCTCTGTCGATAATTCTGCCGCCCAATTTATATCCGCGTTCAGATCTTTTTCGAGAGACTCGGTGTTGGGGTCGGATGTGAGAGTAGAATGCGTGGTCAGTGCCGACAATTGCGGCCAAGTACTCGCTCTCATGCCCACCTACGGCACGAGGATGGCGGAACTTTTTCTTTCCGAGGGGCTCCTTGTCCGCAGCAACAAAACTTGGCCGTTTTATATTAATGACACAATTATTAATTATTTAAACAGAATCGTGAATAACATTGAAATTCTTTCGACATGTCATTTTCACAATCGTGGAAGTTTATTGTCTGTTTATCATATTGTGTAGGTTAAGGTAAGGTGAGGTTATAATAACCGTTTTGTTGTTGTAGTTGTTAACTACCATATACGACCAGGAGATCGTACTACGGTTTTTTGCGTTTGGCGAAGCACGTTTCCTGGACTCAAAGCGTGTAGCAGCGATTTTTCCGACGCGGCAAGTTATTCCTGGGCACAGACGTAAAACTCGACGGGATGAAAACGGTTTCGTCCGGTTTGCGCCCAGCGAATGTGGCATTTTCAACCAGATATTGCCAAAAAAAATCTTTGGAAGAAATGTTCCAGTTGGGCCATTCGTTAGGAATGGGTGCTCTCGCATCATCCGCTACCGCGTTTACCATTAAACGGTTAGTGAGGGAGTATGGCCGTCAGAGTGATCTCCCTCTGCCATCACTTTCAATATCGGGGAACGGTCTGTTTGTCGGACGTGTTCAGGGCTTTCGCGTCTCCTACCGTGTACAGGATGGCCATCCTGTACACGGTATTGTCGTTGCCAAGCGTTATCGACGATGTTAAAGTAATACTCCATACAATGAGTTGTACGTGGAAACAATACCAGTGGTTTTGTTAAGGCCGTATACACATGGATCGTTGTATGTATACATTTATTCATTCTTTTTTTTCCGAATATTACACATTAATTATAATTTTGTGTTTTATAGATGTCACTGGATGTTTGTGAGGGAGAATGACCCTCGGGCCAAGATGGTCATTCAAACCCGGGCAGAAATACACGAGGCGGGAGTGTCGCACTCAGTAATGCGTTTAGACTGCATTTTTTTTCATATCTTGTGTACGGTAGAGTGGATTAGGCCTCCCGGGGATACCACTAAAAAAAACGTATCCCAAAGCTATACCCAATTGGGTGATGTGGAAAGTAGTGTTAAAAAATTCTAGTTTTTGAATTATCCTTAAATTTTTGTTTTACCAGATTGATTTCTTACTTTGGGAGGAAGAATTTTACAGCAAAATTAAGTTCCGGGAATGACGTAGGAACTGGTGTGCCAAAGTATCCTGTTGTCAGGGAATTCTTTGTCGATGCTGCCACCGGCTCACCCATATGTAAAATTTAATTTTTTTTGTTTTGAATTGTCTTTTATTTATATTTTATTTTTATGCTTTATAGTCAACGAAGGAACTCCGCCCCCACCGTGACCCAACACCTAGAATTGTGTTACAATTTAATCGCAAATGTAGGGGGAGGATGTGAAATGGCGACCAGTGGGTAATCTCGGTCAGTGACATCTCATGATAGCTAAAATTTAGATTTTTATGTTATTTGATGAGTATTGTTATCAAAACCTAATACCAGATGTCTGATAATGATAAAAATAATTTACCCACTAAAAGTTTGTTATCACTTTTTTTATCACTTTCGATGTAATATTTTTCAAATTTAATGTTTTTCAAGCACTATGTATTAGAAAAATATTTTCATATTGTATCTGTAAAAGAATAATAGGTTCCCATTTAAATTTCTAAAATTAACCCCCCAAAACCCCTCTAAAATATTTAAAAATGTTATAATATTTACAAATCATTATAGACGTTTCTAAATCAAAAAACTTTTGTATTACAATTGTTTCTTTATTTTGAATATCAATGTGTTAAAATAGCTGTAATATAAATTTTGAATCACCCTGTATATAAAAACGACTCCAATTATAATATAATTAAAAATTTAATATTCATCGATGAAACTATTACAAAATGCAATTTAAAGAATTTATGTGAGAAATGTAAAAAAAACGTAAAGGGTTAATATAGGATTTATCATACTCGTATACCCTAGGTCTCAACAATTTTTATATACTGATTTGCAGTGTTACGAGGTATGACAATAAAATAACGAGACTTTCTAAATATAACTTAAACTATTAACGTTATCTATAGAACGATTATTTAACACTTATCTAAAAAAAGTACAATAAACACTGATGAAATCGGTTAATGTTCTTTTACGTTAGTAGCCTTGTTATTAGTGCGAGTTCGACTATACTGCCGAAAAATGTTAGATTTAAAAATCGAACGTGTTAACATTAAATTTCTTGTTAAATTAAAAAAAAATGCCGCGGAATCAATTCGTATGTTATGGTGAAGAATGTTTATCAAAAGTTCGCGTTATTGAATAGCACAAACGGTATTGCATTGGAAGAGAGGACGTCGAAGACGATATGATCGTTCTGGACGTCCTACCACATATTCAACAAACGAAAACATTGAAAAAGTCGAAAAAATTATTCGGCAAGATCGTCGATAAGTGTTAGAGCTGTAGCAGAGATGGTAAATATTAATAGAGGAAGTGTTCGTAAAATTTTAGTTGATAATTTAAATAGGAAAAAGTGTGTGCTAAAATGGTCCCTAAAATTATTATAAAAATTATTTTTTTCTGCAGTTTAGTACTGATCTCAAGCAAATAATCATAAATCTGTACAAAGATAAAGTTAATTAACAACTCGAAAATCCCGCAAGACCTCGATTGAACTACAGACAAATAATTTTGAAAATTTCAAAAGCATCCGGTATTTATCAACGTACAATCCAAATAAATTTGTCCGAATATAAAAATAAAGATACTGTGTCATCGCTGAACAAAAAGAAAATAAGATCTAAAATTATTGAAATATTGGATGATTTTGACTAAAATGCAATAAGGCAAAAAATTCATAGTTTTTGGATCAATCGTGAAGTGCTCACGATTTCGAAGATATTGACTGCTATAAATGAAGATCAGACATAACCGAGTATGAAATGTTCATCAATTCAAAAAATATTGAAATAATAGCATTTTGTGTACATAAACGATGGATACGACAGTGATATTGATATTCTTGATGAAAACGACGATCAAAAAGATGAAGTAGAAATACTTTTAAAAACAATTTGAAAATGATATTTAAACATCAGGTACATTTAGTATTAATTTTGTTCAAAAAAAAGATGTTGAGTGGATTATCAAACCTTTTACTGCGCCAAAATTAAAACTTGATAACTTAGTTACTGTTGACCCTCCAATATGCCAACGCCAATTAATTATTTCGCTAAGTATTTTAATAATGATATTTTTGAAAAAGTTGCTTTTTATACTAATTTATAGGCAGTACAAAATAACAGTACTAATTTTAAATCGACAAATGCTACTGATATAAAATCTCTGATTGCTATCCAAATGTTGATGGGTTGTTTATAATATATATTGGACACATAGATATCGTGTTGACATTAAAGCGGATAAAATGACCAAAAACAGATTTTTTTCACTGAGACAACACATTCATTTGATTAACAATTTAGAGATATCTCGTAACAATAAAGATAAATTTATCAAGGTACGACTTATTTATGATATATTAAATAGTCGCCGTCAACAATTACAAGTTGAACGAAACTTGAGTGTAGACGAACAAATTGTACCATTTAAAGGGAAACTTTCAGTGAAACAGTATTTGAAAGAAAAGCCAAATCTTTGGGGAATAAAAATATTTTTACTCTGTGGTGAAAGTGGAATTGTGTATAAAATGATTTTATATCAAGGCATCTCAACTAAATAGATGACGAGCATCAGAAAAATTTTGGTTTTGGTGAAGCTATAGTAGTTTGTCGAACTCAAAATATTTGTGAAAATCGAACTACTTATACTTTGATAATTTTATTTCGTCACATAACCTTTTTTATGCATTACTACAAAAAAAAATTTATGCTGCTAGTACTGTTCGAGTGAACCGATTTTTCAAACCACCTTTGATGTTCGATAAACAAATTTCAGTTTTAGGAAGAGGCACCTTATTCGAAATAACGTCAAAATTAGGAATAAGTTTGTTAAAATGGTTCGACAATAAGCCAATAAATATGTGATTGAACTTCATAACTTAGGTATACCGGAATATGTGAAACGATGGGATAAAAAAAATAAACAACACGTGAAAATTGAAAGACCCGAAATATATAAAGTAGTTTTAGATGGGCTTTCAAATATAGCTGTGGTTGATTCCCATATATTATTTAACACAGTTACATGTTCAAATATGTCAATAACAAATTTCCGAACTTCTTTAGTTGAACAATTAATCAAAAAAAATACCGTTGACATAAATCCAACAACATCAAACATCAACTAGAAAAAGCTGGCAAAAGCATATTTTCTTGGTTTCATCATAGTTTGAAAGTACAAACAAAATGCCTGGCATGTAATATTATTGTACACAATGTTTTAACAAGGATCACAAATCACAATATAATAAGATGGATCAGCAATTATTTATAAAAAGTTTATAACCTTGCTAATTATTTTGTAAATTATAAAATAAAAGTCTACTATCAGAGATTGTTTACATATTATTATAATATTATTCCCTTTTTTGTTCAGATAATATTCTGTATATATCATATTATGTAAACGAAAGTTTTTCCGTGTGCCAAAACTGGAAGATTTTGTTTAATTAATTAACTTTTTATATATTAACTGCAAATAACATTTTTTTTTTTTTTTTTTTTGCTACCCAAGTAGTGCAGATTTATTTGTTTTATTTTTTAATTCATGTAATGAACATTAAAAAAAAAATTTTTTCCAAAAAAATAGTTTTTTTAACTCGTTATTATAGCTTGTTTTACCATAAAACCTGGTTAAATTACTTTTCAGGTACTTGCTAATTAACATTACATAGGCCAACTTTGGCCCAAAGTAGAATGAACGACAAATCTATGGCGATATTTAGAGGAGGGACAAAGTTACCCCATTCCCGGATAACATTGGCCAAACTTTTGGGAATAATTTTTTATTGTTAAAAAATAAAAAATTTGGAAATTTTATTCCAGAAAGGGTATGTATGAGAACCTGCACATTTATGTCAATTTTTTTTTATTTTAATATTTTTACGTGCAACCTAGTTAATTTAGTCATAAATTTTAAAAATGCTGAAAAATGGTACAAAGTTACCCCGTCGTTTTACGGTAGTTATTTTATTTTTATATTTTTCATGAAGAGTTATACTTTAATATTTTAATTAAAAGAATTTGAATTGAAAAAAATTAATAATAAATGATTCAAAAGATTAAACAATCTCAATATGTTTAACTATGAGAATTGTACGCTACGTTTTTATATGCAGGCAGTTGATCAGACATGAAAAAACATAAGATGGCGTACGTTTTCCATGCACTTTATTATTTTATTATAAGTCTAATTTGGCAGGTCTTATAAAAAACATTCATGGAATTTATCTAAATATTATTTATTTTTCACTATTAATTATTTAAATAACTTAATTGATTTATTGATTATTTTTTTAATTATAAA